GGATACTTCAAAACAGATTATTTAACAAACTAACCTGTACAATATCTGTAGGATACTTCAAAACAGATTATTAAACAAACTAATCTGTACAATATCTGTAAGGTACTTCCAAACAGATTATTAAACAAACCAATCTGTACAATATATGTAGGATACTTCAAAACAGATTATTAAACAAACTAATCTGTACAATATCTGTAAGATACTTCCAAACAGGTTATTAAACAAACTAATCTGTACAATATCTGTAAGGTTCTTCAAAACAAGTTATCAAACAAACTAATTTGTATAAAATCCGTAACATATATGAAAACAAATGGAAAATTCGTTATGCTGTTTGACAATATCAACTGCTAATTAACAAGCATTGGGGATATGAAGTACATTTTGTCATACGTACTTGTAAACGTTTTCGTATTGATTTACTTTTATTTTAAACATTAGCTTAATTCTCACTTCATTTACTCTGTAATATTGACTAAATCTCCAGTAAATACCACTGGGTTTGAATCAGAACTGTGTTAATAATTAGATAAAAGATTACAGAACGAGTTTGAAGTGTTAAAAGTCGGTAATAAGGACCGTAACGTTTATGGAATAAGTCTTGTTTTTGGACTGTATTAAAATTTAGATAACAGATCCTAGTGTAAATTTGAAATTTGTTTGTTTCAAGTTAAGCACAAAGCTACACAATGGACTATTTTTTGTTCTACCCATCACGGGTATCGAAACCCGGTTTCTAGCATTGTAATTCCGCTAACATACCGCTGTGCCACTAGGGGGCGTTTGAAATGTGTAATAATGACCCAAACTTATATGGAATAAATCTTGTTCTCAGAGAGTATTAAGAATTAGATAAAGGATCCTAAGGTGAGTGTTGAAATCTGAGGAATGTATAAACACAAACCAAAGCTACATGTTTTTCTAAAGTGTTTGTTTGTTTGTAATTAAGCACAAAGCTACACAATGGGTTATCTGTGCTCTGCCCACCACTGGTATCGAAACCCGGATTCTAGCACTGTAAGTCCGCCGACATACCGCCGTGCCACTTAGTGGGGGGGGGGGGCAGGTCTTGTTGTTTGTTTGTTTGTAATTAAGCACAAAGCTACACAATGGGTTATCTGTGTTCGCAGACACCCCGCTGTGCCGCTAGGAGGCTCTTAAAATGACTTTATAGTAACCAAAGAATTTAGATATGAATTTGTTATTATATACATATTTCTTTTATAATTTTGCACTAGCGCTTTATTTTCTATGTGATTGATTGGTTTGAATTTCGCGCAGAGATACACGAGGGCTATCTGCGCTAGTCGTCCCTAATTTAGAAGTGAAAGACTAGAGGGAAGGCAGCTAGTCATCACCACCCACCGCCAACACTTGGGCTGCTCTTTTACCCACGAATATTGGGTTTAACAGTCACATTATAACGCTCCCACGGCTGAAAGTACGAGCATGTTTAGTGGGGCGGGGATTCGAACCCGCGACCGTTAGATCGCGAATCAAGCGCCCTAACCACCTGGCCATGCCGGGCCACTTTTGGGTTAGCTATTATCTTGTTTGGTTTGGTTTCTGAATTTCGTGCGAAGCTACACGAAAGCTATCTGCGCGAGCAGTCTCTAATTTAGAAGTGATTGCCGATTCTTGTGGGATTCGCCGTCTCATTATAACTCCAAACAGCTAAAAGAGCAAGCGCGTTCAGTTACGGGATTCGAACCCGCAGATTGCTGTTCGAGCGCCTTAACCAACAGGTTATTCCAGGGCCTCATAAGCAAATTAACATAATTTTGTTAAGCGTAAGGTCAAATGTTACTTTTACAATATATATATTCATCACTGAATTTCAAAAATCATTACACCAAAATAAAGCGTAGCCTTTGTTCTGAGAGATAGCCCATTTTTATTGAGGTATCTTCATAAACTATTGAAATATTACAAAAAAAAACGTTGGGTGTATCCCTTGGGCAGGAGTATGCACTACCGTAGAAAAAAATAATCAGCAAAATGTGTCTGTAATACATGGTCATACGTTTGTCTGTAATACGTGGTCATACGTTTGTCTGTAATACGTGGTCATACGTTTGTCTGTAATACGTGGTCATACGTTTGTCTGTAATACGTGGTCATATGTTTGTCTGTAATACGTGGTCATTCGTTTGTCTG